GGCGCTAGATGTTTACACGTAGTAACGTGCATCGTATTCAATGATCATCTCGCCGGTAGGATGAGGAAGGGTCTCAACAGTGTTTGTTTTGTTCAAGTTAACCATTTATTGCTTTCTAAATCGTATGAAAAAACTTCGGGCGAACTAACTTTTGGTCGGGGCGAATCGAATTTCAGTTGGGGCGAATCGAATTTCAGTTGGGGCGAAACGACTTTGAGTTGGGGCGAAAGGACTTTAAGTTGGGGCGAAACGGACTTGGGGAGAAACGGACTCGGGCGAAACGACCGCAGTTCTTAATTACCATTATAATCCATCAAATATTTTCGCTCGCGCACGATTGGTCTAAACGAGTCACGTGACTGAATATTTCCCAGCTAGAACTGGGGAATATCAGGGGTTTTTTCACAGCTGCGCACGTTGCGAAGATTTTTGAAGGATAACAAACACAAATAGCATCCATTCCGTTCGGAGCCTAGGACATTATCTGTTCCTCAAAGCTCACAAGAGTTTTCTCGAGCTACGCTCTCGGAGAACTGTTCGTTTCCCGGAACAGATAACGTCCGCGGACAAATATCCGAGTATACGTATTTTCGCGCTATTGTTTATTTATTATTTTACTTTTTACTTGACAAAAAATACGACTCTACAGCCAGTGCAATACGGATATTTTGCGCCCTACCTTGACCTAATATGTTAAAATGGCGGTCTAGTGGAATAATAAATTAGTATCATACCTGTGTAAGGAGTCCAACTTGCTACATGTATCCACTAAAGAACTAAGAAATATCTCTGTCTCTTTGGAATCCCATTCAAGCTGTTTGCATGGCTCTATGAACTGTTGCAAAACAACAATAGCAACATCCACATGTCAGTCAACCACCATGCAAAAACAGCTGACAAGCAACCTAATTGTGTAGTTTCGACCACAGTTACTGTTAGTAGCTCAGAATGTACAGAGAATGTGCTGTGGAGGCGCGGTGGCCTCATGGTTAGTACGCTGGACTACTGATCGAGCGGTCCAGGTTCGAGTCCTGGCTGGGGACATTGTGTTGTGTTCTTGGGCAAGACACTTTACTCTCACAGTGCCTCTCTCCACCCAGGTGTATAAATGGGTAACGGCGAATTTAATGCTGGGGGTAACCCTGCGATGGACAAGCATCCCATCCAGGGGGGAGTAGAAATATTCTTAGTCGCTTCGTGCCACAGAAACCGGGATAAGCTCCGGCCTGATGGGCCACTTGGCTCGTATGCAGACCTTGGCCATTTTTGGTCTCGATTAGGGTATGGTTTTTGCACTCTAGTCTTGAGTTGGGTACGTTTTTTCAGATGAAGCTTCTTTTTCATCTATACCGATAAGACCATCAACAAAAGCCCTTCACAATGCCTTTAACATCGGGCTGAACTAGAGAACCGAAACAGGGTATCAGGTCTTCAACTGGGTATCAAATTCTCGGTCAAGTCGTAAAATAGGAAGGGGAAAACGCAAATTTTGGCCATAGATAGAATAAGGGTTTTAGGAAGCGGGCCGCACACGCTCACCCAATTTTTGTGGGAGTAACCTCTTCCCCCCGAGCCATGAAAATAGCAAGAGCGCAACGTAACATTTTGTCCCCTAAAGGTATGACATGTGGGAGGTGCTATCCCTTTGACAGTGGAAATACTTGCTTAGCAAGGATAAAACAGTTCTCTATATTAAGGCAGATACCTGAGTGCGTTAGGTGATACATGTCGTACCTACGTTACTACTGTTAAGTACAATATGTTAACATGACGAAGGTGAAGTGTGTACATTCGTTTCGGATAACCCCTTGCTCTCCCTGTTACCGTCAAATATAAAGTAATAATCAAGCCCCAATTGTTCGAAGGCTGCACAAGTGTTAAAAAACAAACCACGCTATCCACTGGATAGTGATTTATCCGATGGATAGCGTTAACAACCTTTCAAACAACCCAGGCCAGGTAAATTACATATACCTTCTCCACAAAGTCACTCAAGACATCCTTAACTTCTTTACTATGGATAAGACCAGCAGCAATGTTAAGCAGAGCTCGACAGAGACTCTAAAGTTAAAATAGAGAGAAAGAAAAACAAGAAAACAAATAAACCGAGCAGTCGACGATTGTAAATTAATTCCGACACGGCATTCGTGTAAAACAGGCTTTAATTTAGTTTACTTTTCTTTAATAGTTAGCAATATTTTAAATCTGTATTCATAGTCTTTCGTAATAAGTTGTAGCTTTGATATTAAATTGTTAATGCCTGATGTATTTACCGTGTTTTTAAATAGAGATGATGATGATGATGATGATGAGTCATTTTCAAGTCTTTGTACAAAACTAGGCTGAAAAACAAGTGTCATTTTTTTTCAAAAATTCTTTTAAATCCATTCGAGAAATCCTGAGCGATCAAAGGCAAAGAGAAACTTGTTTAGCTTGGAAAAGATCGCCCATGCAAAGGAAGTTCTTATTACAATGCGACTACTTAATCCGGGCCCCTTGGAAAATAGTTAACCAATCAGAACGTTTCTTGAGAACAAAGGATAGCGAACTTTTTTTCAAATAAACCAACAACATTGAAGAATATACGAACAATAGATCTTAACAAAATTGAAAACCCAACAAAGTGCGAGGTGTTGCGAACCTCTCAGAAAACTTTGCCGTTTGTTGATTGGTTAGTTTCGATCCTAAATGTTTTACACTATCAACCGTTTCGGTTTAGTTGCAAAATGAGTTTTCAAGCTAAATTTTCTAGCGAGATTTATAATTTATAATCATGATAATTCGCCGTCAAGGACTCAATCTCTAAGAGTGTATATAACACTGAGGAGTCGATAGTATTTATGTATCCATGTTAAACAGACCCCTATTACTTCCGACACTAGAAAGCTACCAGTCCACTGTTCTCAGTTTGCATTTTAAGTCGTTAGCTTTCTTGTAGGTGGCCCGGTTTGATAAGTCGCAGTGTAACAGTTGGCAAATCCAAATTTACTTGATTATTATTCTTATTGTTGTTATTATTATTATTATTATTATTATTATTATTATTATTATTATTATTTTTGCTTTTTGCAACTTATGTCCTCGAAGATATTAGCTCTACAGCTACTCTGTAAATTTCAAGCATAAATAAAGTATATGTACTCAATTTTTAAACAAAGCATATGTATGTATGTACGTAAGTAAGGGACACAACTTTCACCTTTAGACAGCAAAGGATTTAAGATGGATACGTGTGAGCCAGAGCTTGAGATAATTAACTGAAGTCTGTGTTATCTCTTCACTGTACCTTAAAATTGGATTCCACAGACTTAGCAAGCTTTTTAGTGAACCTTTTGAAAATATCACCGCAGACCAAACTGAAAAACACAAACATTCAATACCATACATTAATATAGTTTTGGAGGAATATAGTTAAACAGGTAAGTAATCACTTATATTTGTTGTCTGGGTTAAATTCCCAGACTTGGCATGCTACATGTACAGTGTACATTACAAAATAAACAATTAACTATTTGAGCTTGCACGGACCCAAGCTTGCATGGAGGGTATGTTGGAATACAGAGGGAATTAGGCTAATTTCATTCATGGATGAAATTCTTATTTGTTTGAACCTCCAAGATACAATGTAAGGGGCGGGATGAGTGAACATAAAGGCAAAGTCTGCATGCGGGCTAAATGGGAGAGACGCAATGGCCTCATAGTTAGTGCGCTCGTCTCTGGATCGAGCATTCCTGTTTTGAGCCCTGCCCAGGGACATTGTGTTATGTTCTTGGGCAAGACACTTTACTCTCGCAGTGCCTCTTTCTACCCAGGTGTATAAATGGGTACCGGCCATTTTTTTTTGCCGGGGGTAGCCCTGTGATGGATTAGCATCCCACCCAGGGAGGAATAGAAATACTCCTACTCGCTTCATGCTACAGAAACCGGAGATACACGCTGGCCTGATTTAAAACTGTGGGTTTTATGTATGTTTCAGTGTATGTTTTTTATTATTATTATTTTTATGCATAACAAGCAAATTTAATTTAAAAATCCAAAAAGCAAAATTATTTTTTAAAACACCTCCTGTGCTCCTCCACGATCTCTTTGTCATTGACAAACACTTTCAGATCTCTCAGCTCTTGAAGAAAAACTCTGTCAAATTCAGCACCCGTGTCTCCTACATCAGCAGCTACAGAAAAGCAAAACTGCAACTTAGGACATCTGACATCAAACAACAAAACGTCCTAAAAGAGAGTCTCGGGCAATTTCATACACAGCCAACCCTGTACTAGCAGGTTAATCTTTTATTCATATTCTAACCAGCTGTGAGGGATCCCTGTGCCTTTACCCAGGAGTGCTAGAGAGTACCATACTCTTTGGAAAATCCACCAAAATGCTGGGGGTTAGCCTGCAAGGTAGTGGCATCACATTCAGGGGGAAGCATGAGACTATTATTACCATTTTATGCTATAAAACTAATTTAAAGCTACACTAGTCACCAATTAATCTGCAAACACAGACATATTTCCAGCTGTCACATGAAAATAACGTCATACTATTTTCGGCAGAGACGAACAACAGCTGGAAATATGTCTGCGTTTGCAGGCTAGTCACTAAAAGGCTTGGCTGTTTTTTTTTTTTT